AAATGGAAGTGCACTTTCCTGACCTAGACTAGGTAGGGGCTACATCGAGAGCCACACTGTTATTCTCTCGACACTTTTTAAGTTCGCCTACCTGCTGCATAATTTTAGAAGCAGAGGTTATTCGACTAAACCACACAAGACAATTCGGGGTTTCTGATTCGCAAAAAATCGCCAGAGCCTGCGATCTTATTCAATATAAATAGCATGCCTTCGCTTGCGTTAGTTTGCTTCATATAGACTGCCAAAGCAGTCGCCGAAGCACTCGATTGTGCCTTTGATCATACCATCGAATTGTGATGAGAAAGGACACCCTTAGTGAATGTGAATAGTAGTATGAGTGTGGCTAGCACAACGGACTACGCTGTAGCTGCGCCGTGCCCACGATACGTGTTACTCAAGCCACACACAAGGTCCGAGCGAGCCCATAACTACCACCGTGTACAGCGGAGTGGAGTGACAACACATCTAAGTTTCACGTCGCGTTAGCCTCCGCGTCCAATCCCAGTACCAGTTGGCTCGTGCAGTCGACTGGTGCATGTGGGAGAGCGTAGGATGCGTGAGGCCGACATTGGGAGATACACCCTCACGCCACATCAGTGCATTGCTCACTATAATAAAAGTGGCATACAATACCGGTGCTTGGTACGGCTGTGGTCATTCCAGATATAGCTGGCCTCAATAATGTCACCCATTTTGCCTCTCCGTGCGTGACGATCTGCGGCAGCGGATCTGGAAACCTCAACTCATTCTCTTACGCAGCAATAGTGACCGAATACCGAGGGTCCAAGAACGGCTCCCATGTTTTGATGAACTGTGTTGGGCCAGGTCTTGCGTTGATCTCATCTTCAACGCTTTGAAGTGGACAACGACGCCGGATCGAGGACAACATAACTGAGCTTGTGAGGCGGACGACCGCAAACGTGCCCAAACCACATCATTCGTCTTTCCTGGATGGCGTGAGATATCCTGGCGATATTGTCAAAGCGAGTGCATACTGCCTCATTTGAGACAGCGTCAATGTACTTCACTCGAAGGACGGATGCACCGTATGCAAGGATCTTTGTGAAAATGAAGATGTCGTGTCACATCCATTAGCACTTTAAAAAATTCCTTGAGTCGTGGCTCGGAAGGCTGCCAACTGATGAAATAATTCGGTCCTCCTAGAGTCAGGCCGCAAGAACTCAATCTAGCTTTTAGGACATTCTCACCATCTG